CTGCTGTCGTTTTTCTCCAGGTCATCGAGCCAACCATCAAATGTGGCACTGCTTGGGCTGTGCCTGTCACTTTCATCCCTGCTCTTTGTTTGGCACAAAGGAAACATTATCTTACGTTCCCATAGGAACCACTCCATCAGTTTTAGAAGCACCTATCACCTCCCTGCGTTTCCCTCCAGTTTCATCACCAGCTGGGATGCCCAAGCAGCAAGATTTTGCCCCAGCTGCACGGGAACACAGTGGCAGCATCGCTCTCGGGGGTGTTGCTGAACTGGGCACCTGTCACTTGCAGTTAAGGGAGGGAAAAATGGGAAAAACCAGGCAGAAGGTGCTGCCTTTCACTGTGCCAGCACCACGGGCAGCTCAGAGCTGCCTGGCCTCGCTGCCCTCACTCCTGGTTGGAGAGGAAGCAACTCTGCTCCTGGCTGGAGAAGAATTCAGCATTCCCAGTAAAGCAAGCTAGAAGTAATAATGATCATAATGGAGGGTAATACAAAGGCCACAGGCTCTCAGATCCAGAGAACTAAGTGCTGTGAAAAGATTTCTCACTCCCCATTTGTCACTGTCATCCCAATGCCTTGGAGTCAGACTATGTGGCCCTCGTTGCCTTAAAGCCCTGATTATTCGGAGGCAGCTCAGCCACCTTATTAAACACATCCAAGGCAGACAGAACACGCATGTGCTTCCCTTCTGCTGCCTCCCCTGGGCCTGTAGATAAGGCAGGTGGAAGCATCAGGGGCAGAAAAAAGAGGATTGTACAAGTAACTTGAACATTGGAATTAATACCCATAATTATAAACCAAGGGCTGACAGGAACAGCAATCCCTTGTCCTCTATGAGTCCTTCTTCAAGGAATGCTCTGCCACTGTTTTTTTAGCCCAGTAAGAGACACTGACAGTGATGCTCAGAGTCCTAACAGGTGAAAATACTTTCTTCCTTTTTTAAATTTATCTGTAGCAGTGACACTTTTTTCCCCTTTATATGCTCTTCTCAGCCTCTCATTCATGGAGCTATATGAAAATAAAATTAAATCTAACAGCCAACAACAACTAAGTGGAGATCAGAGATGCTTTTCAATAAAGGTTAGTTATAATTATTAAGTCCACTGTCTCGAGGACTGACAAAAAGAGCAATCTGGAGCCCTAAAAAGGGTACAACCATGGTTTTACAATGCTGTCTTGTGGAAATTATGACAGCTTTCACACCTTTAGTTCTCATAACATACTCACTGTGTGCACTTCAACAGGGGGTGTCCAACACTCTCTATAATGTAACTCTTCCCAAGCATGTAAAGTTAAATTAAATCATTTAAGTGAAATTGAAATTTGGAGACCACTAAAGTCACAGATAACACTGAGCTGCTTCCACCCAGCAGGCACCAGTGGCACACACCTATTTCAGTGTTGCTGATGGGTGTGCTTAGCAACCACCTCAAGTGTTATACACACAACCAACTCTTTACAATACAAATTCCAGTTCAGCAAGAGAGACTGAGAATTCAGAAAGAAAGTCTGCAGTTTAATTTGCCTCCTGAAAGCACCAACTACAGTGCTGTGCATGAATCCTCCCTTTATTCCCTGCACTGCTTCACAGTACAGATTGTGTTCAGCAAATTTCTAGCTATCCTTGATGAACAAGTTTGAAGTAGTGATGGCAGCCTTCTCTTTTGTTTGCTAGGCTAAAAATACCATCTTATCTATTCAGCCTGCCATTGGTATTAATAGCATTGGCAACTGTGAAACACTGTGTTTGCATCCATGGCATTCCCCTGCTCTGCAAAGACTTTGGCTTATGCAGAGGATACCTGTCTCTCCCTGGTTTGCTGTTGGAGATGTAAAAAGAGCTCAAACTGCCCCACAGCAGCTGCCAGAACACAGAATGACACAATCAATTAATTAGGTTGGGAAAGACCTCTGAGATCAAGAAGTCCAACCTTCGACCAATCACCACCTTGTCAATCAGACCACGGCACTGAGTGACACGTCCAGTCCTTCCTTAAACACATCCAGGGACGGTGATGCCATCACTTCCCCGGGCAGCCCATTCCAATGTTTAATCACCCGTTCTGTGAAGAAATTCTTCCTGATGTCCAACCTAAGCCTTCCCTGGCCCAGCTTAAGACTGTGTCCTCTCATCCTGTCACTGGTTGACTGGGAGAAGAGGCTAAGCCTATCTGGCTCCAAACTCCTTTGACTGAGTTGTGGGGAGTGATAAGGTCATCCCTGAGCCTCCTCTTCTCCAGGCTGAACACCCCCAGCTCCCTCAGCTGCTCCTCACAGGACACAGCATTTTGTTTGCTATGATAAAAACACCATATTATCTATTCAGCCTGCTATTGGCACTAACAGTATTGAAACACCACATCACCATCTCTGGCATCACCACATTCTGCAAAGAATTTTTCCTTCATATAGAAAGTATGTGTCTCTCCCCGTTTTGCTCTGCCAGAGATCGAACAAGAGATCCAACAGCCCCACAGCAGCTGCCAGATCACAGAATCTATTAGGTTGGAAATCGAGATCATCAAGTCCAATCCATGACTACTCACCACCATCTCAACTAGACCATGTCACTGAGTGCCAGGTCCAAACCTTTCCTTAACCACTTCAAGGACAACGACTCTACCACCTTCATGGGCAGCCCATTCCAACTTCTAATCACCCTTTATGTGAGGTAATTCTCCCTGATGTCCAATCTAAACCCGCCCTGGCCCAGCTTAAGACTGTGTCCTCTTGTCCTGTCGCTGTCTGCCTGGGAGAAGAGGCCCCACCTGGCTGCCCACCTACCTACCAACCTCCTCTCAGGTGGTTGTAGAGAGTGATGAGGTCACCCCTTTTCTCCAGGTTAAACACCCCCAGCTCTGCTCCTCAACCAGACCATGTCACTGAGTGCCACATCCAGTCTTCCCTTAAACACGTCCAGGGATGGCAACTCCACCACCTCCCTGGGCGGTCACTTCCAACGTCTAATCACCCTTTCCGTGAAGAAATTCTTCCTGATATCCAAGCTAAACCCCATCCCCTGGCGCCGCTTAAGGCCGAGACCCTTCCGTGCTGCCGCACAGCATCCGCACCGGGCCCGGGGGCACCTGCCGGGCCGGGACACGGGGAGAGGCCTCGCCATGGCCGGGGCCGCCTCCGGCAGCGCCCCCGCGGCAGGGGGGGCGGCGGGGCCGTGCGGGCAGGCGGGGAAGGGGCTGCCCTGGGTGTCACTCACGTTGCGGCGGAAGGAGAAGCCGGGCAGGAGCGGCAGCGCCATGGCCGCCCCACCCGCCCCGGGCGCCGCTGCCGGGATACGGGCCGTGACGTCACGGTGGGAGTGACGTCACGGGGCGCGGGGCTGGTCCCGGTCCGATCCCCGGGATACGGCGGGGATGGAGGGATGGAGAGATGGAGGGATGGAGGGGGCAGTGCCCTCCCGCCCTCCTCCTGAGGAGCCGAGGGAGTGCAGGGGGAGCCCACAACGGGGAGGGGAAGGCGAGTCACGGTTAGCGACCCTTGGGGGTGAACTAGAACTAAATACATCCTATAATATATAAAATATTTTTGTTTATTTGTGCATATAATATATCTATATATAAAATATATACACATATAAAAATATATATTATAGATCTATAATATATAAATATGTTATATATAATAAATAATATATAATATATAAAATTAATTATAATATTGTATTATAGATAATATAATTATAATAGATGCAATATAGTATTCTATTACATATAATAATTATATATAATAATTATATATATTATATAATATACATTATCTATTATCTATTTTCTATTATACATTATCTATTATCTATTATATATTATATGTATATTAAATATATATTATATACTTTATGTATTATATATTATACATTTTTCATATATATACTTATATATGCATATATGCACAAATATATGAAATATGTATTATATAAGTGCATAAATATATATTTCATATACTCTGTATGAAATATGAAATGTATTTTTTATATAATATGTAAGTATAGTATGTATAAATTCTACATCTGTAACACATATTACCTGTAACATTTTTATCATATTTATTGTATATGTTACACAATAATATATAATATATATCACTGTTTTATATGATATACAATAATATGTTTTTTATATATTATACACACTATCATTAAAATTCTAAGAATTATTTATTATACATTGTTATATATAGTATATTGTTTTATATATATTATATATATTATTTTTTATACATTATTATTTACTAAATGCTAAATACATACTAAATCCAACATGCATGCTAAATCTGTTTTCTTTAGTTTTTCACAGTTCGTGGCTGTTTTCATCAGGAATCTCTCAAAATTTGGAGAAAAGGGGGCTCTGGGGTGACCTTGTCGCTCTCCACACATGCCTGAAATGAGGTGGGAGGTGAGGTGGGGGTTTGGCCTCTTCCCCCGGGTAATCAAGGATAGGACAAGAGGACATGGCCTCGAGCTGTGGGGAGGTTTAGGTTGGACATCAGGAGTAATTTCTTCATAGGAAGGGTTGTTAAACACTGGAAGAGGCTGCCCAGGGATGTGGTGGATTCATCATCCCTGGAGATGTTCGAGGAATGCCTGGATGTGGCACTTAGTGCTGTGGTCTAGTTGACAAGCTGGTGATGGGTCAAAGGTTGGACTGGATGATCTCAGAGGTCCTTTCCAACCTAAGTGGTTCTGTGATTTTGTGAAAACGTGCCTCAGTCCCAAAACCTTGCCTTGTCACCTCGCTCTCTCCCACGTGGTAAAGCGCAGTGACCTCACTGGACATGGTCCCCCCCTCAAGTGCCTCTGGAACTGGGGTCACAGATGGGGCAAATCCCACCTCATTTATGGCTTTCTGCACCAATTAATTTTTAATGTTTTTCGTGTTGTGACTGTTACACAGCGCATTTTACTCTGGGGCCCTCGTGGGCTTGGGGGAGGGGGTTGTGTGGGATGCTTTTACAGCTTTTCCTTTGGTTTTTTTTGCATTTTTTAGTCCACTGGGACATTGAAACTGGGTCAGTGGGTTTCCACCTTCTGGTTTCCCAAGTGCTGTGTTGAGCATTTGCATTTAGTGCGGAAAGGTAAACATTTTAAATGTATTTTAATTGAAGATAAGAGGAACCGTCATTTTAATCACATTCATTTCGTGAAGTGGGTGGTATTATGCTCAAATTTAAATTTCAAACAGAAAATACACCGAGAGTTTCTCACGGATGGCTTGTAGGGGGGAAGGGTTGTTTCTTTCTTTAATGGTAGTAACATTTTCCTTGTTAATAAGGGAGGGTGCATTCCAGATCGCTTCCAAAGCCAGCTCCAGAGAACAGCAACTGTGCTATGTTATGTTCCTCCTGTTCATTAATATATTTTTTTTTAACTAGAACTGCTTTTCACAGAAAAATGAGTTTATGGATAAAGCAGCTTAAACCTAAATATTCCAGTTCTGATCTACTGTCTCGGAGGAGCTGTACTTCACTTGCTTAATGTCCTTATTCTCATAGATGGAGTGGATCTCCCATGCCATATTTCATACTCTGTGATGCAACAGACCATGAAATTCCCATAACATATCATCCCTCCTCCCTGAAACAGAGGCTCGTGGAACAGCATGGGTGATGTGTTCAGTCTGAATGAGCCTGAGAGGGACTCCCTGTACAGTTCCCAGTTCTCTGAGTTGGTATTTAGCCAAAAATATTCTGATTTCAAAACCTGCGATTTCAGAGGAAAATTCTTTGGGTTTTTTTTTGTTTGGTTGGGTTTTGGTTTGGGGTTTGTTTTGGGGTTTTTTTTGCCAGAGGTTTGAAATGGGAAAGGAAGGAAGGGAGGGAGGAAGGGAGGAAGGAAGAAAGGAGGGAAGGAGGGAAGGAAGGAAGGAAGGAAGGAAGGAAGGAAGGAAGGAAGGAAGGAAGGAGGGAAGGAAGGAAGGAAGGAAGGAAGGAAGGAAGGAAGGAAGGAAAGGAAGGAAAGGAAGGAAAGGAAGGAAAAGAAGGAAAGGAAGGAAAAGAAGGAAAATAAGGAAAAGAAGGAAAGGAAGGAATGTCCTGTTAGGTTTTCATGGCTCGTTACATAGCAGGGTGGTTGAAATATCTTAATGCCCTTGTGATATCAATAATAAACTGGTGCTCCAAGGTAGCACGGGCAGAAGCTCTGGGTTGAAAACATGCAAAGGGAAGAGCATCACTGCTGGAGGAAGGTCAGTGAAATGCAGAGCACCAGCAAAGAGTCCAGCGCATTTCCAGCAGAAAATCCTGTGAATTGTCCCTAACTTTCAGGTCAAATCTTTCTGCGCAGGATTACCTCTGCCTCACCCAGTAAAGGAGCCATGGGGAGCTGTGGAGAAGGGGAGCATCTCCCTTTTGCACCAAAGCACTGCTGCAATTCACTGTTTTCTACCAGTCTTCAATCATTTTTTGGCTTTGAAAAGCAAAGGGGGTGGAAAAAAGGAGTATAATCTACTTTAGAACAGAATTGCTTTTTTCTACATTACCTTCTCTTTGGGGTTTCTCTCACATGTTTATCTTTTTTGTTCCTTGCTGTATTCACTCAATAGTACAGACCGAGTGAAAACAAATTAATTTTAATGCCTTTTCTGGGAAAAATAAAAGTACTCCAGGAAAACCAATTTTGATAAAAGCTTTTTATTAAATGAAGATTGTTAATGACAACAACAGCAAGCAGCTGGCAGTAGTAAATTAACTGTGTCTTCTGACTACTCTGCCGATGATAGTGGTGGAGGTACATAGGACTGCATTAGCTGTGCAGTTCAAAGGAGGAAGAAAGCAGGGGGGAAACTAAAGCTGGGAAAAATATGGAAAACACCATTTTTGTGATAAAAAGACAGTAATTCTAGTCTCTTTATATTGGGATTGAGTTTAACTAGCAAACTTGAAATGAGTAGGGGGTTTCAAACTGTAAATGAGCAATGCAAAACTTTTTAAAGAGGTCCAATTTTTTTTTAAATTCTGTTTTTTGCTCTGACCAAATTCTGTTGGCTCCAGGCTTGCTAGTTCATTGGTTTGAGTGGAAGACCAGGTCTTCCACTTCCAACTTGTGTCTGTCTAGAATAGGAAAGTTTAGAAAGATGAAGAGACCAGGGAAGTTTGACTGAAATCAGCATAACTTAGTGTCACTTGTCTGTGAAGACATCTCTGTTGCTGTCATACCTGTGACTTCATCCTTTCCTTGGGAGTGGTTTTACAGACCATGTTAAGGCTGGGCTGTCCAAAGTCAGAGCAGTCCTTAAAAATATTGATTCCTTATGTTTTCCCACTTCTTTTATTACCTCATTCATTTTGATTTCACCAGTCAATGAGCATGTAGACCACGAACATACTCATTCAGTGGCCAGAAAACAATGCTGAGACCACAGTATTTGGCTGCAGCTGTGGAGTGATCCACACAACTCAAACGGGGGAAATTGGGCAGCTGTAGGTCTGTGCTGGCCATGTACCACACAGGTGCTTGGTGCAGGATTCCTGCAGCCCCTACTGCCCCAGGAAGGCAAAATGTGAATTTCTATGGCTCATGGCCCGTCACATTTTTTTTTCCTAGTGATGCCATAGGGGATAGGAGAACAGAAGAGTAGTTAAATCCAGTCAGGTCTCACTGGAGGGTTTCCTTAGCTGGAATGACCTTTCCATGGCCAATTACTCCGATTCATCCTGTCCTAACGAGGCGTGTTTGCACATCAGTCACCTTGCTCAGAGCTGCCATGGCTCTTGGAGAAGCGAGGGATGAGGGTGGGAGCTGTAGTACCCCTACTGGTGCACCCTCCCTGGCACAGCCTATGTGCTGGGGGCCGTGAAGAGGGCTGGGTTTCCTCCCTTTCTGTCCCCATCCCGTCACACCATCACAAACTCATCTGGAAACTTGACGGGAGAAGTTTGCTGTCTCACAGAACAGGCCTGGTGGGCGTGTTTCACTGTGCTGGGCCTGTTTAAAGCGTTTTGAAGTTCCCACTCATCTGATAGCCAGCTCTTATTTACATAAGGTGTGAGCTTCTCAGGGATATTTGCAGTCAGCCTGACTTCCTTGTCTTTGAAATCGGGGAGAATATGAGGGGCTGCTTTCCTAAGTCCCCCCACACTTGGGAAAGGACATGGAAAACGAAATATTCCGGGCCTGGTAGATACCTCAGAGTTGCCCCCGCTGCATATATTCAGTGAGATCTGCAGTACAGAGTAGCTGTTCTGTTCCTCTTCACCCTCCTTATGTGGGCTGATCTGAGATGCAGGCATGCTAGTGAAGTGAACCTGACAGAAGAGCCTCTAATTTAATTCAGAAGCAGAATGCAGATTTTTAATTTTTTTTTTTTTTTTCAATTTAACTGTAGGCACACATTTAATACAGCATGCAGTGGTTGCTGGGAAGAGTGGGAAAAACTCATGATAAGTAACACAACTCACACACTGATGGGAGGAAAGTACGAGCGCGGCACTCGGCGGCAGCGTAACCGCGTCAAAGCGCGGCTGAGGCCTCGAGTTTTATCGTCACCTGCACCTCCCTCCCTCCAGGTAACACCTATTTTGGGGTGAAGACAAATCCCTGGGGAACACAAAACTCCTGTGGCAGAGAGGCACAGTGACTCTCACAGCCTGACAGGGCAGCCACCCCTGGACAGCCCCACGAATGTCAGGAAAATGCTGCTGTCGGAAAATGACAGTGTCGGGCACTGCAGGATGGGGAGTTGAACTCCTTTACTCCTGACCTTTCTGGGAGGTTGATGGGACTGAACCCATCCATGTCACGAACATTTCCTGACTTTCCTCGCACACTGCCTTCCTGACAAAACTGAAGGGTTTGGTTCAACAGAAATGTTGATACACCTTCCCTCCTTTCCAGCAGTGGTGTCATTTGCCAGTAGCCTGACTCTCCATGCCTGTTGTCAAAGGTGTCTCATCCAGCCGATGAGGCACCTCAAGACACTGAAAAACCCCAGCCCTGGCTCTGTTCAACCAGCCTTTCCAGTCTTCTTCCTTGTGCCTAGGAAAATTCTGTCGGCGTTTCTCCAAGTCTTGCGAGTTGCCTTGAGGATACGCCATGAGGCTGCATGACTGATCGATCCCTCCCTCTTTTCCCATCCTCCATTTTCAAGCTTATCTTTTCAGCTGATGGATAAAACAACAACAACAACAACAAAAAACACCCAACAATTTTTAAAATTCCCATGGCAATAAATAGATAGAGAGATTACAGTCAATTACCAGAAACTGCTATTGATCAAGGCTGGTTTAGAAGTATACTTGCTTTCTACGATCAAGCTTACAATACAATTTCCCCTGCCTTCAGCATCTATTTCAATTAAAATGAGAGGGGAGAAAATACCACTTACTTTAAATAAAAAGCTTTCAAGCTATTCTTGCAGGCTGCTTTGAGGATCTAGGACAGATCAAAGCTGCTTTGAGAATTCATCCATTCTGCTTCAATATATGATACCTCATTGTCCATAGGAAAAAATTAAGGCAGTATTAGATATCAAAGCAGCAAGTGCATTTTGGGTTTTCTAAGTAGTGGTCTCAAAACTGATGAAGCCTGCCAGAATAATAACAGAACAGTAATCCCCCTCCATCACAGAGGCCATGGCAATTGCAGGCACCACATCAGAAACTGTTTCTTAATCAAGCTCTGTCTTAATGGTAGTTAGGTCATCTGTTTGGATCAAAAGTCTTGGTCAATACCAGCTTCTCAAAAGTGACTGAAATCAATCAGTTATGAATAAGTTAGGAATCGAGGTTTACCCCAAACCTAATCCCTTTGCTGATTAGGACTTTATTCTGACTTCCAGCCTAAAGGCATTCATGGGAAACAGATCCTTTTGATCCTTGTTTTGGCACTGCCCTTTGAATAATGTGTCTTTTTTGCTGTTCGAAGCCTCCTCCTTACGTAACTGCAGATAGCAATCACATCTCCTTTCAGCTTTGGGCCAAGTTTAGAGAACCAGACTTTTTGGCACACTGCTTATGTGATAGTTCATCTTCCTTCTGAACTCCCAGCTCTGCTTTTCCCTCTGCCTGCTCCCGCCCGAGCGTGTCTTCCTTGAATAAAGGTATCTATGCACAATAACCTAAAAAAACTCTCTCTCACCAAGGTGCTGCACTGTTCCCTGTCACTCTCATCTCTGCTGTTGCTCTGCTGTGTCTTCTCAATATTTCTTTCTCCTTTCTTTCTGCTTTCCTAGGTCTGTGCTTCCTCCTGCCCCCTCTCATTCCCACTTGTACCGCTTTAGTTCTGCTTCTTTTCTCCACTGATGCTTTTCCTGTCGAAGGCCAAAATAAGTGAGAAAAGTGTCGGGTCCTCCTTTCCAAACCTGTTGATTGAACGTGCTGAAGAATAAGTGATCCATGGGGAATAGGATTTATTGGGCTGTTAACTTGAATGGAGCCGTCTGGTTCAGCCTGCTGAGCTTCTGAGCACAATTTCTCTCTGCAAGGCTCCACCGCTGCTCTCCCTCTCTCTAAATGTACTTCGAAGGGCTTTTGTATCAGTGTGTGAGGAGTATGGGTAAGACCTAATTTAGGGCATGGGAGAAGGAGACTTCACCATCTATCAGAGGTGTTTTCATGCCCTTAAAATGTATTTTTCAAGGCAACTGCTCCTGGTGCTTCATGGCTATATTGCCTTCCATCCTTTGGAATTAGAGCTGCTGTCCTGACAGGGTTTTGTCTTTCTTTGGAGGCAACCTGTGTTAGCAAAGAAAGGAATGTCTTCACCCAAAGTTCATTTTGAACTTGTGATTAAAATCAATCCTTTTTATGAAGGAGGTACCTGTTTTTCTATGTTTCTACCTAAAGATGGGACAAACTCCAGATCTTGTCAATTAAAGAATAAAGAAGGTTTAAGTGAGAGATGAAACCCTTCTGCCATGCCAGGGCACTACATTAGCTGGTCATTAGCATGTTCCACACCATATTTGTTTTTGTGTGATAAATGCTGTAGAGAGGTTAGTTGACAATTAAATAAAGGAGTTGAGGTCAGATACTTAAGGGAATATTTAAGGGAACTGGTACAAAAACTACCGTGAGAGTTGAGACTGTAACAACCTCGACAGCGTCCCTTTAAATTACACTTAATAAATACCAGGCAGCTGAAATGCTCTGTGGTTGTGCATATATTTGTAACAAACGGTTGCACAAATATTTGGCTCCTAACGATGAACTAAATGGTATGACATTTGCCAGGGAAAATTAATTACTTTAACGTGTGTTGTATAAAATATGAGATAATCATGTAACCTATGTGTATGCTGTAAGAGTGTTCCTGAGTTATTACCAAAGGAAATTTATGAGAAATAAACAAGAAATAGTCAGAGATGCTGTAAATGTCATGTTATGCTCAAGGGCCTTTTGCGGCTGAATAATTTTTATGTGGATGAGGAGGACGGGATCACGCTGTGAAAAATCAAGTTAGAATGAGTTAATCTTTGTATTTGCACATAATTTTATTGGTATTTAATGTAGCTATGATGTTTCTGTCTCAAATTGTAGGGACAGTTCATAGAGAAGATGACAAGATCAAATCAGACTGAACTGAGTGATCCAGTGTGGTCTCAGCATCAAATTTTAAGCTGTCTGTGTTCAAGAAGAAAAGCTGCCTATTAAAGAAATGAGAAATAAAGTGGTCCTGATAGTCCAGTCATGGCTGCTGGTTTGGGCAAAGCCGTACTGCCTAATTTATGTGACTTTTTGGAAAGGTGAAGTCATCCCCCTTGGAGGTCTTGCCTTCTCTGCGCAGCTCTCATGTCTCACAGGCAGGGAAGGTTCAGCGACTGCCACAGCTCTGCCCTTTCCCCTCCCACCAGGATGCTCTGCAGAGTCTGCATGAGGCTGTGTACAGGAGGAAGGAGTGGAAAGCAGTGAACTGGAGAAATATGAACTGGCGAGGGAAAAGCAGATACACACATTTCTTCTCAGACAAGGAGTGTAGAGCGAGACAAACCCAATCTCTAAATAGCAGCAGGGAATAATGCGGTAACAAAATCGCATCCATTACATTCTTCTTCTTTCCCCCAGCCAAGAAACTCAGATAGATGAGGGTCTTTCTTGAGCAGATAGCAGAATAATTCAAACAAAGCCAGGGTTGATTGGTTTGGGGGAGGGTCTTTAATTACTCCCATAGTTCTAAAGAACAAGATAAACTAGGGCACAGCCCGCTCAGCAAGTGTCACTGGCATTTTTCAGGCAGCAATACAGAAAGCAGCTTCCCAGGTGGTGATCCTGGAGTCCTGGAGTTCCTACCATGGGAGAGAAGCAGCTGGGGAGTGTGAAGGTGGAGAACAATCTTGGTGAGAGATTTACAGGATTTGTAAGCCTCAGACAGTGAAGGAAGGACATC